CACAACACAACTCTCGAGACCAACAAGACCAGGTTGGTATTAGACAAATCTCATGATTTAGGCTTGAATCTCATGCCTCCTTCCCAATATTAATTACATTTTTTTCTTTTTTATTTTTTTATCTGTATTTTTTTCCTTTTTTGGATCCAATGTTTGGGATGATGAATATGGTTTGTGTTTTTTAAGAAATATATAACACATGATCACCACTTGTTTGACAAAATGCCTATGTATGTATATATAAGCTAATATATTTATTTATTTTTCTTTTATTATCATCTGGGTATCATCTACATTACATATCCTCGAAAATTGAATCTTGATAGCTCTTCTCTTCTGGTGAGGAAACTTTTCTGTTTCGTTTCAGTTATAAAACAGAAAAACAGAAGGTATATTATAGCAGAGAAGCTTGGCTGTCAATGCCAAATGCTGCTGTTTTCATTTCTTTGTTTTCTGGAACTTCTTATTAAATGCATCATACGTACGTACATGTATGACCGTTTTCTCCCCACCCACAAAATACACTCAGCAGGTACAAAAGTAGATAAAATAAAGGGAAATGCTACGGTCCCGTTACGGTACCATCCCGTCGGGTGTTATAACCGTTGGATCATCTATTTTATCTAACGGTTAAAATACCCGACGGGATATGGTATCATAACGGAACTGTAACATTTCCTTAAAATTTAATAATATTATAATACTCTAGCAACATAATAATCTTGTTAATAGTGAGAATTGAACTTATTATTAGGATTTTATTTTTACCAATTTGTGTATTTACATAGTTATTATTTCTATAATTATAAATGTGGTATTATTATTGTTAATTTTTTGCGAGTTAAGGAATGATTTAAATGATATTGTTGTTATTTCCTAGTAGCTAGAAAATTACAACTTAATTGAAGGAATAATTATTAAATCTTTCATCCATTAATTCGTAGTAATATATAAACCATCAGATAAACCAGGATTGAAGGCCGTCGATTGTGTATGTGTGTTCCAATTATTTATTGGAAAATGTACATTTTTTTGAAAAAAAAAAAAGAGAAAAGACTAAATATGGAAAATTGCAATAATGATTGATATGCACATACATATTATCATATAATCATATATCGGACACATTGATTATGTACTACACTTGGTCAACTGTATCACACAAGACTTGACTAGCTGTTGATGATTTGCCTAGTTCTTATGTGTATAATGCATATATATTCCAGAAATGCTACGGTCCCGTTACAGAACTATTCCGTCGGGATTTGTAACTGTTAGAACATCAGGTAACCGCCGTGGATACTTGATCTAACTTTACAAATCCCGACGGATGGTTCCGTAACGGGACTGTAGAATCTCCATATATATGTGTATGTGTGTGTGTGTGTGTGTGTAAATGTTAACTATATTCTAACTATTACATTTATTGCA